GGGAGAAGAGAGGGAAAGAGGAAGAGAGAGCCTACTCAAGGAAATAATAGCTGAGAACTTCCCAAATCTGGGGAAGGAGCAGGAAATACCAGTAAGTGAAGCCAATACATCACCTAAACACATCAACAGGCAAAGGCCCACTCCACGACCTATAGTGGTAAGGCTGGCCAAAGTCAATGACAAAGAAACAATATTAAGGGCAGCTAGACAAAAACAAAAAATAATGTACAAAGAACTCTCATCAGGCTCTCAGTGGATTTCTCAACAGAAACTTTACAGGTTAGGAGAGACTGGAATGATATATTCAAAATAGTGAAAGACAAAAACTTTCAGCCAAGAATACTCTACAAAGCAAAAATTTCCTTCAAATATGATGGAGAAATAGTAACTCTCCCAGATAAACAAAAGCTAAGGGTGTTCATGGCCACGAGACCCCCACTACAAGAAATACGCAAGAAGGCCCTCAGGCCTGAAAAAAAGAAGAGAAAGGGAATACAAAGCTTGGAGCAAGGAGAAAAATAGGTAGATAAACTCAGAAAAATAGTAGATCTTTACCGGAATAGGTTAGCAATCACTTAAATACCAAAATCAAAGATCAAAGGAAGGAATTCATCAAAAATAAATTAAACCTCATCAATGTAAACACATAGCCACAACACAAGATAGAATAAGGTATAAGAAGAACGACTTAGAAGGGGAAGAGGAAAGTGATTGAAATGATTTAGTATAAGGAAATAGGAGGCCATCAGATAATGGACTATCTCATACACAAGATTTTTTACACAAACCTCAAGGTAACCACTAAACAAATAATCAAAACAAAACCACACATGATAAACAAAGAGAAAACTAGAAGAGTCATAAGACAGAACAACCAAACTGAATTGGCAGTCCGAAACAAATGGGACAAGAAACAAAGGAAACGCAAAAGAACCAGAAAATAAGTGACAAAACAGCAACGTTAAGCCCTCATATATCAATAATGACCCTAAATGTAAATGGATTGAAGTCTCCAATCAAAAGATACAGAGTGGCAGGATGGATTAAAAAG